CTCTCTCTCTCTGCCTGCCTCTCTGTCTACTTGTGATCTCTGTCTGTCAAATAAATAAATAAAATCTTTAAAAAAAAAATGCCAGTAGGGTTTTGATCAATATTGCACTGAATCTGTAGATGACTTTGGGTATCATGGACATTTTTAACAATATTAAGTCTTCTAATCTAGGAACACAGGATGTCTTCACTAATTTGTATCTTCTTTAATTTCTTTCAGAAATGTTTTACAGTTTTTAATGCACAAGTCTTCACCTCCTTGATTAAGTTCATTCCTTTTTATTGTTATTGATGGTATTTTAAATGAGGCTGTCTTTCCAATTTCCTTTTTGGATAGTCCATTGTTAGTGTACAAAAATGCCTCTGATTTTTGTATGTTAATTTTGTATGTTGCAATTTTGGTGATTTTCTTTATTGGTTCTAACAACTTTTTGTGGAGTCTTTAGAGTTTTCTAATATATAAGATCAAGTCATCTGCAAATACAGATGATTTTACTTCCTTTTCAATGTGGATGCGTTTTATTTCCTTTTCGTGCTTAATTGCTCTGGCTAGGATTTCTTTGTTGCTGAGAAGTGGTGAGAGTGGGCATGCTTGCCTTGGTTCTGATTTAAGAGAAAACACATTCAGTCTTTCATCATTAAGTATGATGGTAGGTTTGATGTTTTTCATATAGGGCCTTTATTATGATGAGGCAATTTCTATTTCTAGTATTTTGAATATTTTTATCATTAAAAAGTGTTAAATCTTGTCACTTGCTTTTCTTCCTCAATTCAGATGATCATGTGATATTTATCTTTCATTCTGTTAATGCGGTTTATCACAATTTGTGTAGGCTGAACCATCCTTCCTGGCAGGGATAAATCTCACATGGTATGATCTTTTCAATACATGATTAAAGTTGGTTGCTAGTATTTTGTTGAGACTTTTTGCCCCTATACTCATCAGGGATATTGACTTGTAGTTTTCTTTGCTTGTAGTGTCTTTGGTTTTAGTGTCAGGATAGTACGGACCTCATAAAATGAATTGGGAAGTGGTCCCACCTTTATAGTTTTTTGACAGATTCAAAAGTCTTCAATAATCTCTTACCATTAATCTTCCCTAGATCTTTGGCAAAATTCATCAGTGAAACCATCCAATTCTGATCTTTTCTTTGTTGGGTTTTTTAATACTGCTTCAATCTCTTTACTATTTTTTGTTCTATTTGGATTTTCTTTTTCTCACTGGTTCAGTCTTGGTAGGTTGTATATTCCTAAATTTTATCCATTTCTTCAAGGTTATCCAATTGTTGGTATATGACTGCTCAAAGTGGTCTTTTATGACCCCCCCCCCAACCCCTTCACTGTAGCATCAGTTGTAATTTTTCTTCTTTTGTTTCTGGTCTTATTTGAATCTACTTTTTTTCCTAGTCTAGCTACATGTTTGTCAATTCTGTCTTAAAAAAAAAAAAAATTCAGGCTTTCAGGAAAGATGGCAGAAGAAGAGGATCCTAGGCTCACCGTGTCCCACAGGTACACCTAGATAACACACATATCACTGTAAATAACTTAGAAAATGACCCAAAGCCTACCAGAACAGACTCTAGACAGTTAAATATAAAAGATAGAGGCCATATTGAAGAGGGTAGCAAGGGTGGAGACATGGTCAGGAACCAAACTGACTCACAGGACTGTCTAAAGGAAGGATGCCATTGGCACAGAGAGGGGAGAGGAGCATACCCCACCCCAGGCATGTCAGAGCCACACTGAGAATATGAATCCCTATTGGGCTTTGAAATCCAGAGGGGCCTAATTTCACAAGTTCTTATAATCAGTGGAGTGTAATACCTTGAACTTTAAAAACCAGGTAGCTCAGCTC